AAATGTATTTGATGTTTTTTTAAGTCTAATCCATTAAATAACAATGCAGTAAAGACACTTGCATTACTACACGCTCACTCTCTCATACTTAGACAGACATGCACACACAAAAACCGATGTGAATATTATAGCTCAATTCTTCAGCGGCCATTTAAAAGCTACTCTATTGAAAATGCTGCCGGGCCACTGGGCAAATAAAGGTCAAGGGGGATATGAAATAGTTTGTCTAACTGGCCCTTTCCCTCCTGTGTGTTCCTGCAGCCCCACGCTTGTATACACATTCATAGCCAATTCATTTATATTGCTCTGCCCTTCTCACTGCTAGTCTCAGTCACTAACTACAAGTGACTGCGATGAGATTGAAGCCTCGGGCTAAATCTCCACTGCAAGGCACATGCTCCATCAATGCTGCTCTGATCACTCCATATAATCACTTGAACCACACTATATCCTCAACTGATTGGGTGAGCCGCAGCAGAGAGGAAACAATCACAGAATGTCAGCAGATGATGGACACCGAGATGTTGCAGTAGTGGTCACTGTGAGCTACCATGTAAATTGCATGCAAATGTGCACCTGCACTAGCTGAAGGAGTGGAATGAAGGACTGTGGCCTTTTGATTAGGCTCTTTTAGCTCATATAAAGTGTATTTTTCTGCATTAATTATCCATGGTTGCTATTTCAGCCAATGAGCATGTTACAGTTGGGTCTTTGCTTTCTTCAGTGCTCCATAGTGCATTTAATGTGCACATTAACAGACACCAATTTAACCCTTGTGTATTTCTTGTCAGTGTAAAAGCTTAACTGCATTGTCATTAAAGGATTTTTTTTTATTCTGCAGTCAAACATAAAACACAGAAATAATGATATAAATGTCCATTAATGATTATTGGTGATTTGTAATATCTGCATTTAGATGCGCTTTGTAAGGGTAGTTTCAAAAAGCAGCCCAAAAGTGCAAACTTACAACATTAGAATGATGCAAAAGTACATTACATTATTCCACAGATACTTCATTATACAGTTTAGTCTGCTAGCGTTTCCTGCCATTTACAGAATCTAAGGGCACACAAAATGTCAGCCATGGTATTAGACTACCAGAGCCCCAGAACAAATTTCATGCACCTACTAAGGAATCTTCCTCTGGTGTTTTCATAATTTTAACTCTTTGTCTCCTGTCCTCTGCTTCCTCTCAGGGCAAGTATGAGACAGGTACGCAGATGCTTCTCTGGCCAGAGCTGAAACACAACAGAAACAGCACACAGCTGCTGTAGGCTGAGGGAGGACACTTTTGATCTCTTTCAATCACCTCACTTGTCCTTCAAGTGTTCAACAGATGTCATCACTCGTACTGTCACATCCACTTTTTAACTGTAAGACTATTGTCTCATCCTAGGGCTCAGTAGCGAACTTTGTGTTTCTACCTTTATCCCTCCTGATCCCAGTGGCAGTGAACAGGTTAAGCTCCTCCTCTTCCTCAGCCCCATTCAGCTACACCTCCAAGATCTGGCTCTAGACCAGTGGAGCATGAGAACCAGGACAGCCTGGACATAAAGGGATGATTGTGGCAGGCCAGTGACATGGAAGCAAGTAAACTCTGACAAAACTAAAATCAGCTTCAGGCCAGCACAGCAACGCCCAGCCAATGGACATGAGTATAGAAACTGAGTCGGTCAGTAGGAGCTGTTTCTGCTCAGACAAATAAGGCCCCCACTATGGGATGTGCTCAAAGCTGATTACAATAAACCAATGAGGAAGCATTAGCTTACCCAGCTAATTATGCCTTTAACGATGGGGAGAGCTACTTTCATGCCTGGGCAGGGCTCTGCTGCTACATCACATTCAAATTTATAAGGTGTCATCACACCAACTCCCATTTCTAATCAAGTCCTTGCCTCAGTGGAACATTTTGGGGTGGTAGGTGTTTAGTTAACAGGTGTTTGATTTACTGGAAAATAAGAGGGCATTAAAATTGACACCCACATCTGCTGTTTATTAGCTGCCCCTGACCTTTGACCTTAGAGCAAGTCCAGAGGGTCTAGAGTGGGAAATGACAAAGACTTTACCAATATGATTAAGATCAGCAATATAAAATCTTTTCACTGCATGTTTCTACACAGAAAGGGGAAAGGGGAATGCATTAAATATGCTTACAAATGACCGTCTATATTGCAAACATAACATTATCAGATAAAAATTATGATAAAATGTCAACTAGTAAACTCTATATACAAGCTGGAAAAATGAAAACATGATCTTTATAAGCTATCATCATCTTTTTTTACAATATGTAAGTCTGCACAATAGCACATAATAATAGCACAAACAGCACAATGATTAATTTGACTTTACTGCAAGACAGAAATAGCAGCAGCCTCCAGTTAAGAGTCTTTGCATATAAAGGGAGGCCAGGCAGTGCTGATAAGATTGTCTCATCTGGCTTGCAGGGCTTAGGTGCAGTGTGCTGTATTAGGAAAAAAAAAACCGTAAGGCAGGCTGTGGCTACTATTAGGCAGGTAATGGGATCCATCCGAGGCGCATTAGAATCAGTCAAACACACCCACACTTCACTTCCATTCAAATGACCGTCACAATCACTTCAAATACCCACATTATGTGTGTACTGTAGGCAACAAAAAGTGGCTCTGACTGTAGAGCAGCTCCTCTGAAGTTCTGCCAAGCTCGAGCATGTGCGCTTTCCTAATGGTGACGGCTGGGAGGGTGGCAGTGAGACTGATGTGCATGAGAGCTGTCAGCCTCCCCCCATAACAAATGCCACCTCTCCCTTTGACAGAATGGAGACAGACGGGAGGGACTGAGGTGGGAGAGAGGGGAGGTGTGGAGGTTACGGACACCCAGCTGTTTCCCCGCCACTGCCTCCCAACCACTGCCATCTCTGTAGACCATATCCTGCTAATTGGCCTACGCTGCCTAGCACAAAATGCACACACACACATAAATACAGCGCTTGCTAAATAATATTACTGAAAAGGCTTCCTCCCAGTGAGAAAGAACATTTGTTGGTGCCTTAAACTGTATTTTCATAATGATTGATAAGTGCTTTACACCATATTTCCCAGAAATATAAATGACTAGCTGCCCTGCCAACATGCTGGCTAATGTCCATCTTGACATGCACAGGCAGACAGGCAGCCAGAAAGACAGACTGATGACTGAGACCCATACCAAGATTCTATGGAGGGGAAACTGAATTAATTGCTTTTCCTTTTTGTGGATAAGTCCTCAGAGTGGTGTGTATGTTGCGATAATGGTAGGTTGCGCTGACAGGCAGGTTATTTAATAAATCCCAGGATGTGTAAAGCAGAAAGGAAGGATATGCACAAAACAGAGTGAAAGATACCCCTTTTTACTGTGTATCTTGTCTGCCATAGCCCACAATATGTACTCTGATTTCCTTTTTGCGGAAGACACTCAAACCTGCTCATACACACACACACCCCTAATCATGCACCCACATAAATACACTTAATCGGTGACACACTCACGCATGGCGAGAGCAGTACTGCCGACACATCCAAGCATGCACAAGTAGGCTATAAAAGCGCACACAGAAACATGCACAAGATCTTGCTCAATCAGTCTGATTTGTTTGTTTCCTCCTAAGCATTTGAGGATTCCTCAAGAAGGAAAAAAAAAAACCTTTGTATAATCAAGTCAATTATGTCATTCAATCAAGTCGAAAATCATTTCGAGTCCTTTCTCAGATCCATTGATTGCAAAGTCGTGCTGAATATTTGCTTGCTGCATTCTACTGTGCAAATAAGGCATCTTTATTTAGAACGGCAGGCCATAGTGAGGTCTTCAGTGCCACTTTCACTGGAAAAGAGCAAAATAAAGTCCTTCACCTTGCACACTTTCAGTCAAGAAAAGAACACTGGACTTTTTAGGGAAGAGCTGATTGCATACTGTCTCTGGGAAAAAAAAACTGTTTCTATTAATCCATAACAGCTCTTTTGTCTCCTTCAGGACATGGTACATTGTGTGCCCATGGAAAATCCATCCTCAGTGAAACTGTTTAAACTCAAGGTCAAGTGCTGATGTTACAGGGACTGTATCAGCTGAAGGTGACCTTGACTGATGTGGAATACGACATGAGGGAAATGGATCTCTGCTCAGTGTGAGGAAATTATCTGTGAAATGCTGCCACTGTATCAAAGCCTGTTTGTGTGTACACATGCCGGTGTGCACATGCTTGAGAGCGAGAGAGTGTGTGTGTGTGTGTGTGTGTGTGTGTGTGTGTGTGTGTGTGTGGTTTGCATGTCCTTGTATAAAAGGGGTGCATATATGCCTCGCTCAGCTGAGGGGTATTGGTCATGAAAACAGCATGCAGAAACTGCTGCAGCAGACAGGAGCAAACAGCTGAATGGGACCTTCTGGCGAATGAAGAGGGCATGGTTTATTCTTTCAGAACACACTGGAACAATCCGTCACAATATCAGAACTCTAACTTCGATTCCAATACCACAATATATTTGGTTTTAAAGTGATACTACCACAGACAAGAAAAAAAAAACATGACTTGGTTTTGGTTTGTTGCTGAGGGGTTTAGTCATGGCAGCTGGTTGTCTTTACTTGTTTGCTCTGTAAGCAAAATCCATGTTATTGATGAGGCATGGTGGGCTGTGTGAAACTAGTGCCATATCTTCAGTTGTTTGCTTATTGCAATAGAAATGTTTTTAGTGTTCCTTCCAGAAAGCAAGTGAAAGTGGAGCTTCAGGCTGCTCTTAAGGCTCAAATCCGGGGTTGCCAACAGGAGTGCCGGTCATGTGGTCTAAATCACAGTGAAAATGACTGAGTGACACTGGGTGCTGGACACTGACTGTGGATTGAAGCTTTAGAATAAATAAAATGATAAAATTAACAGTGTTTTCTTAATAATGATAAGATATATTGTAATTTGTTCAACATCTAAAAACACTACATGAAATTCCAGCCACTGTCATAACACAATGCAGGGTAATAAAAAAAAAATATCTTACCTTCCCAAACTGTTCAAAATACTGCTTCACATCTTCCACTACTGTATTGGCTGACAAGCCACCCACAAATATTTTCTTTGTTCTTGTGACCATCTGTGAAGAAAAGGGCGAGAAGGAAAGATTAGGGATGAGGCTTTCGACGTACTGCACAACACCTTAATGAGGCTTCAAACAGGTGAGCAGCACCTGGAGAAGACAGAGTAAAGAAGCGAGGATGCATTGTTACTAAATGGAAATAAATGGATTCACACAATAATGTTTCAAAAACACTTTAGTATTACAGTGCTAGTAAAAAGCAAGGTCACACACGCTGAAGGTTTTGGCAAGAAAAAATACACATGGCCACAAAAAAAAGCAGTTCTGTAATTTTCCCTTACATTACAAACAGAAGCTCTAATCAAAACAAACTGTCAAAGAATTAGAGACCTCCATTTCATCTTTTCTGTTTATCTTTACAAAACCTAAAAAAACAACCAGAGAAATAATTTATGTACTTTGAAAGAACAATTAGTGAGTGCTGGAAGATGGAATCAGAGTGCATTAAAGCCTCATTTAGTTTCAAACAGCAAGAATATTAAGGATTATTACCCACAGCATCAAAAAGGACACACATATCTGCTGCAGGGAGCACATGCTAAATTTAGGCTGACAAATTCTAAACCATAGTAACAACTCAATTCAGCGTCCCATCTGTGTGGGACTAGTTTTTTCTTGCATACAAAGTTGGACCAGTTAACAATTAACAGCAAACTTAGAAAATGCACAAATCTGTGCAGCTACATTTAACAACAGTACTGGCTTATCCTAAACCTAAAACCAAGACCTCTGAAACATCTGGTCAGTGCAGGTGTTGCTTTTCCTTGCTGACATTCAACATTTAACCAATTAACTTGTAAATTTCACTTTGTAAAGTAATACTATTACAGGTGGATGTGTTTAATTCATAGGTATTCTATAACGCAAATGTGAAGGAATAAACAGTAATACTGAGGCTTAAGCACACTTCATATCTTTATGGCATCTGCAGTGTTATTTTGGATATGGCTTTGTCCTGACCTCACTCTGCAGTGTGCAGCTGCTCGAACACTGTAGACAGACTTTCACCTCAGCCTGTTTCAGCTGACCTCTGGTAAGAGACGTACAAAGGTGATGACATGTCAAATGATTTGATGACAGAATGACAGTTTTGGTCTGATCCACAACTCTTTGTCTAGTTTGTGGGAAACAATAAGACTAATGGTGTGGGACACTGACTGACCTACAATGCCTGTTTGGTCAGCAGCACCGTAGATTACTGTCATCCCATATATAATCTCTAATTGTCCCCTATAAAACACCCACTCTATGCTCCAGCTTGAGGATTTACTGATATGATGTGGCATGTATTGAAACTGGATGCACTGCTCTGTAATCTTGCTGGCAAACAAAAAAGGAGCAGAAAAGGCAGCACAGAAAGTCACGGCTCTGATCTCCCTCTGCTCGCCAGAATCAAACACATAATAATAACAATAATAGTAAATGGAGAAGGATGGGATGCACAGCAAACAGCCAAGGAGGTTGAAAGAGTCTACCTTGATCAAAATGCTGACCAAAACACTTCAGATCGATGAAAGAGGCTTAACACTGAGAAAAAAGGAGCAACATTCAGCTCGAGCTGAAGTAACCATCTGTCAAGTGCTTTCCAGGTGCATGCAGTCTCACAGGCGCATAGCCTGCCTATATGCACACAGCCTCCTACACATGGGCCCTCTATTCTTAGAGCTTTCATGTTCTTTTAATTATATTGTTTTACCTCAAATTAAATTAAGCCAAATTTTGCAAAAAATACAAAGAATGACGTATCCAAATGTGATTTCCTGAATTAAAAAAATACTACTGCATGCCAGAGATCTGCATTTATTCTCCTACATAACGCCAATTTAATGATTTCATTTAAAAGTGAAAGAGAAAAGTGGCCTGTGCATAGCATGTATTCAGGGCTAGAGGTGCTGACAACAGCAAGATGAATAAAGTAGGTGTTTAGAAAAAAATTACCACAAGGGTTTGGGTTAGCAACTGCAAACCCAGGCAATAAACATGTAATCATAATAATATGCTGTTATATTACACTGAAAAGAGCAGTGCTTTTTGCTTAACGTTTCATCAGGCACAAAAAAAATACATGTGATGGCTTAAAAATCCAAACAGTGTGTAGTGGTAAGAAATGGCATACAGGTATGCATAACAGGCTTGGCCATCTCAGACAGCCAGTGTGCAGTAGGTGCAAACTTTATTACACACAAATACACCCTGGAACAGTACACACTAAATAAACTGGGTGGTTTCAAATTTTAGTCTGGACACATATAACTATGTTTGAAAGGCTTGAACCTTAACCTTACATTTAAATCAATGACCAGCCACCCGTCACAGTCCAAACATGCTAATCTAAGCATGTCAGCATGGTAACTGTGACCTACCAAAGTGCTGAACGTCACACATGCTGACACGTTAATGTTAGCATGTTCAAATGCTGACAAAGTAATATTATGGTACATGCTAAATGTTGGCCAAATGCATGTTAACATCCAGGAGTTCACAAGCAATGTTACCATGGTAATGATCACCTCAAAGTACAGCTAATGAAGCACACCTGGGGCTGACAGAGCATGGCTTAGACTGAGCCAAGTCACACAGTGCCTGGCAAGCCGAAGTCTATAGCAAAACAGAGTATGGTGTCTCCTCTAGTGGCACCACCGGGCTGAAGTTTTGTGGGGTTTTTGCCCTGTTGTTGTTAGGGATCCAAGAATAGCAACCATTTCTCCATCCTTCATCTAACCAACTATTTAATCTCCTACTGTGTGATGAGCATTACTGTACAGGTTTACCAGATGGCCTGTGGCAACAGTGCATATTTTCCCTACTTCACAATATCTGACTACTTGTGAACATGAAAAATATCACCGGGCTAGTTTAGGGTTACACACTGGCCAAGACCCAGCAGCTGCATCATCCTCTACCTCCCTCCTCCTCCGAACATCCTGCCATAGGCCTCAGGGGTTATCAGCCTTGGATGCCGCCGCCAGCAACCCCAAGCCAGACATCTGCTGATAAACTGGCTATGCAAGTATTTATCAACATCACTCACTTTTATCATTGCCAATCTAAGTAAAAAAATAAAGAAGTCAATGTTCATCTCTGCTTGCCTCTTTACATCAGCTGTTTGCCCAGTGTCCCTTCTGGACCACCCATTCCCCGGACATTATTCGGCCTTGTTCCATCAGGCTGCTCAAGTTTTCAGTCTTGTCTTTATACTTTGACATATCTGCCCAAAAGGTGATGGGATTGCTTGAGCGCTGGTACAACACAATTACTCTATTTTTCTCTTGTGTCCCTCAGTGCCTATGGCTATACCATTTGGCTCTGACAGTGACTGATAGACTAGGAGCAAAGGCCTTTTAATGATTGTCTCATCTTTTATGGGGGTTTGATACATTTTACCAAAATTTAACAAAATGTATGTACCAGTCTTCTACCAGGTATTGCAAGAACTACAGCTATTTTCCATGTGCATATGCAGCACGTGTAATAACACCAAACTGACTGGATGAAATGACCTTGGAATTTAATTTGACATAAATCGTTTTACATTTTAACAAACACGTTTCCTTTTTTACCAAGTCACACACAATAACAACCCCCAGGGAACAGAATACTCCCTACAATGCATTTACAGCAACATTAGTTCTGACCATTTGTGGTGTTTTAAAAGTCTTTTTCAACACCATTTCAATTTAAGCTGACAGATTTAAAAAATGGACCACCCTTCAACCTAGTTTCTCCTGTAACCCAATTTTTCAAACATTCAGTTATTTCTGCACATCCCTAAGAGACAGTAAGGAAAATTATGATTGTGCATGAGTGAGTGTATGTGTGCTTACACATTTATGTGTTTCTAATTTCTTTAGCATTGAGGCTTTGAGTGTGAAGGGCTGCAACAATTACTGCCCCAGTGAATTACCATGATAATAAAAGCCCTGCCGCAGATACACACAGAGAGACAGGGAAAAATGTAGAAAGCTTATGGTGCACTCTTCTTGACACCTGTTAGCAGGTTTTTAAAATGACATGCTGTATACCTCTAATAGCATGACCTTTTCCATGAGGTCATCAAGAAAAACCCAAGGTATGTAATAACGCCTTACTCTAGCAATGAAGGCTAACTCTAAACCACTGTAACATTTCCAGAAGTCAGAAAGAGACTGGTTCAATTTTGTGACTCATAAAAGAGCCATAATGGCATCTGCACCATCTTGCTTTTAATAAAAAGCACAACTGACAACATCCATCTTTTTAGAGCTTAAACTCTGCATTAAGATTGTGACTTCAGTGCATCACATTCTGCTTTTGACAAACGGATGATTCAAGTCAAAAAAGCTGTTGAGTAAAAAAGGCAGAAGAAAGGAGAGCTACTTGGAACTAGTGTTCTGAAGTCAGCCAAGTAATCCAAGGAAATATAAAAAAAGACAGTTCTCTTTATTAATGGACAAGAAACCTAGGAGAGCAACAAATGAAAAAATACCAAGGCACTCCACTTTAAAACAAGTTAAAATGCCTTTACTTAAAGTGGCATGTACAGTGAACAAAACAAAGTAACTTTGATGCATTTCGGCATCGAACCTTCTGTAGGAAGTTACAGCATATGGCAAACAATCCAAGTGAACATGCCAATTCAATTAAAGGCATTTTAGCTTTTTTAAACATGGGTGCCTTGGTATCTTTTGGTTGTTTGTTTGTTTGTTGATCTCAAAAAAGCTGCTCCTTTAATTCTAAATCGCAAGTAAACACTGACACACAGTCCATATTGCAGAGTGGGTGATGATAATTTTATGCTGTGTGGAGAACATAAGCTATTTTCAGTTAATATTTTAAAAAATCAGGTCATGTAAAAACTGTCCAGAAAGAGCTTGTATATACATAGATTCTGTTTTTTAGAGGTGACATGTTTGGCTAACTTGGCAACAGAGACATCTACACTAAATGTATAAAACTGCAGACAAAATATAAACACACACGACACATCTGCTGTTTGGCTACTTGAGCGCTCCCCTCTG